CCCTACAATTTATAAAATTCCAGGGCACATATAATCTTATTTAAGAAAAGATAGAAGCCAGCTACAGTGGCTCACAACTATAATCCCAGCACTTGGGGAGGCCACATCAGGAGGATCACTTGAGCCAAGGAGTTCGAGACCAGCCTGGGCAAGATGGCAAGACCCTAACTCTAAAAAACATTTTTTTAAAAAATTAGCTAGATGCAGTGGCACACACCTGTAGTCCCAACTACTCAGGAGACTGAGATGGGAGGATCCTTTGAGCCCAGGAGTTCCATGTGGCAATAAACTATGATCACATCACTGAAGTCCAGCCTGGGGAACAAAGCAAGACCCCAAGTCTAAAAACAAAAAAAAAATAGATAGAAATACCTTTAGACTCATGTGGAATGTCGAATATTTGGTTATGCTTGGAAGACTTCAACAGAATTCCAGTATATGAATGTCTTCACTGTCTCTTAGTCAAAGAAGTCTTAGCAATTTTTTTTTCTTTGTCTTTTTCTTTTTTGTTTCTTTTTGACAAGGTCTCACTCTGTCACCCAGGCTGGAGTAAAGCGGCACATTCATGACTCACAATAGCCTAGACCTGCTGGGCTCAGGCGACCTTCCCACCTCAGCCTCCTGAGTAGCTGAAACTAAAGGCGCATGCCATCAGGAGAAAAGTCTAATGCTAATCCAAACTCCTTTTTAGATAACAAGGTACTCTTCATGTAAGTCTCTTGATTAGGTGGTATTAGCCTTCCTCAACAACATCACATCAAAGTCAGCCTTTAGAGATTTCCTTTAAAGGCCAGAAGCCAGTTGTCTGGGCCAAGTCTGCCCAGCAAAAGATCAAAATGATGTCCAACTGTCTGCCAAAAGTAGAACGAATAAATAAATTGTACTATATTCAAACAGTGTAATATTGTAGAGCAATGAGTTGTAGAGCTACAACTATGTAACAATAGGAATGAATCTCACCAACATCATGCTAAGTAGAAGAAACTAAACATGCAAGTACACTTGGATGATTCGTTTATGTAAGATTTAAACATAGACAAAGCCAAGGTATGGTACTAGAAGTCAGGAGAGTAGTTACTTTTGTGGAGAAGTAACTGGATGAGAGAGCACAAATGGGGTTTCTGTGAATCTAATGCTCTTCTGTTTCTTGACCTACGTCCTACTTATTTTGTAAAATTTCATCAAACTATACACTTGCAATTTGCATAGTTTTTAGTATATATGTTAAATTTGATCAAATAAATATGCCTCAGCTGGGCAATGGCTCACACTTTCAGCACTTTGGGTGGCTGAGGCAGGTGGATCATTTGAGGTCAGGAGTTCAAGACCTGACCAATATGGTAAAACTCTGCCTCTACTAAAAATACAAAAATTAGCTAGGTGTGGTGACGTGTGCCTGTAATCCCAGCTACTGGGGGGCTGAGACAGGAGAATTGCTTGAACCCAGAACACAGAGGTTGCAGTGAGCTGAGATCGTGCCAACTTCACTCCAGCCTTGATGACAAGAGCGAAAGTCTGTCTCAAAAATAAATACTTAAATAAGTCTCAAAAGACTCCTTAAGTGAAAGCACAGTTGATCCTTAAGAATATCCAGAAGTTTTCAGGTACAAAAAAAAAAAAAATTCATAGGTCACTTTCTAACATACTCACAAAAGAGCAAAATTGTGTCTGTCCCCAGCAAGACAGCAGTGATCTTCTTCTCTGTCCTGATCTCAGTTATCCTGACTAGTTTAATCCTTTATCTTTGAATCAGATACATCCAAGACCGTTGTGGGTACCACTGAATGGCTGGAGAACTTTCAGAGAAGAGAAGCCTCCATGTTTACCCCTATATTTTTGAGAAAGCTGACTCTCACCAAGTCAAACTTGCTACAATGATACGTGACCGGGAGCCTATTCAACATCAATGTACCTTCAAGGTCTGAGACTGCGCCTCCAGGTGGAAATTGTAAAGTCCAATCATGACAGATGAATACTGCCAGGAAGATTCAACCATCTTTTAAATTTTAAAATTTAAAATTAAACTCAATCAGCCAGAATTCCTAAACTCTTATTGCATCTTTTAGTCTTAGGAAGCAGATATTTTTTAAAGTCCCATGCCCCAAAGATTGTTTGCCTCTCCAAAATAAGGTAAGCTTACAAGTACATTTATTTTTTTTTATTTATTATTATTATTATTATTTACAAGTACATTTAAAGCTATGAGACCTAAATTGATGGGGGGAAATTGGCTTTTTGTTGCTTTGGAGAAGAAAAAGAAAAGAAATGTATGTATGATGGATGTATGTATGTATGTGTGTGTGTATGTGTGTGTGTATGTATTTAGAGACAACGTTTTGGTCTGTCACCTAGGCTGGAGTGCAGTGCTGTAATCATAGCTCACTGCAGCTTCTAACTCCTGGGCTCAAGTGACCCTCCTGCCTCAGCTTCCCAAGTAGCTAGGACTACAGGTACATGTCAATATGCCTGGCTATTTTTTTTCTTTTTCTTTTTGTAAAGACAGAGTCTCACCATCTTGTACAGGCTGGTCTCCAACTCCTGGGCTCAAGCAATCCTCCCAAAAGTGCTGGGATTACAGACATGTGCTACTATGCCCAGCCAAAGTTTATTTTGTTTTTTTACTCTTCCTTTTCTATATAATTTTTTAAAAATGTTAACCACACAAAAGTTTTTGAACTCCCATTTGATACCTTAGGAAGTTATTTAATCCTAAGGTAAAAAATACTTAACTGTTCCCCAGATCCACACTTAATGGATGTATGCAACTACTGAATATATTTACAGCAGCATCTTTCTGTAATAAAGAGTTCAAGGTTGATGGTCTGTTATGCCTATTCTTACCACATTATTATTACCACAACTATTCACACCCAAAATATTGCTCAGATTATTTAAAGACCCTTTCCGTCGTTTTTCTGTTACCACTCTGTCACCTTTGCAGGCTTTTTTTTCTAATTGTTTGTAAACACTCCTTATTCTCAGCCCAATTAATAGAATTACTATAATATCTAACCATAAATTTTTATTTTTGCTCCATATATTTCTTCCAAAATAAATCACAACTTGCCTCATCCCTAAGTCAAGCTATACTCTTCACTTTTAGCAGCTGAAAAATGGAAAGAATGTTTCTGATCATCATTCTCAGTGGATCAGGTCTGTCATCACATAATCCCTATATTTGGACAATAGATGATTTATTTGAATTTTCTTGAATAATAAAATCATTGTTACAATGGTTCCATCATCCGTATACTTTTCCTAAAAGACTGCTGATCCCTTCTTTGCTCATCCAGTAACCAAAAATACCCACGACTATAGCTACCACCTAAGTAACCCATGCAATCCTTTTTTTTTTTTTTTTTTTTTTTTTTGAGACAATCTCATTCTGTCACCCAGGCTGGCAGTGGTGCGATCTCGGCTCACTTCAGCCTCTGCCTCTGGATTCAACTGATTCTACTGCCTCAGCCTCCTGAGTAGCTGAGATTACAGGGGCCCGCCACCACACTTGGCTAATTTTTGTATTTTTTCAGTAAAGATGGGGTTTGACCATGTTGGCCAGGCTGGTTTCAAACTCTTGACCTCAAGCGATCCACCTGCCTCAGCCTCCCAAAGTGCTGGGATTACAGGTGTGAGCCACCGTGCCTGGCCCCATGCAGTATTTTACAAACCCATAAAAAAGTAAAAGAATTGGCCAGGCATGGTGGTTCACACCTGTAATCCCAGCATTTTGGGAGGCCGAGGCAGGCAGATCACGAGGTCAGGAGTTCGAGACTATCCTGACTAACATGGTGAAACCCCATCTCTACTAAAAATACAAAAATTGGCTGGGCGTTCTTGGCACCCAGCTGTAACCCTAGTTACTCAGGAGGCTGAGGCAGGAGAATTGCTTGAACATGGGAGGCAGAGGTTTCAGTGAGCCGAGATTGTACCACTGCATTCCAGCCTGGGCGACAGAGGGAGAGACTCAATCTCAAAAAAAAAAAAAGGAAAGGAATCTTGCAGGATGGCATGTATGTTTCCAAAGTCAATGGATTACTCTGAAATGATCATCAGAAGTAGGACATAGTTTAGAAATCAGGTCTTGAAATTCTTAGCACTAGGAACATTTATCACTTTTATTTCCACTCTTAATTGCCCTACTCTTGTGATCGTTTTTGCCCCTCACAAGTTTCTAAGCCTCTTATATTAAGATCTTACCATGTTTTTGTTTTTCTTCACTTATCTTAAGACTCCAAATCTGCCAATAGGGCTCACCAAATTTTCTAGTCATGTCCAAAAGGAGAAATTTTGTCAAACTTGATGCCTTCTAGTTTCAACTCAGTATCATACCACTCATTCTCTTTATTTGCAGTTTCTGACCTCTATTAGCTCCTTCATGCCATAATCTAATGCCCTATACTCTCCAGTTACTTCCCTCAACTGGCATGGAAAATCTCTTTTTTCTCACAGATAATGGACTTTAATATACATAGCAAATAGTTTAAAACCATTTTAAAGGCCAGGCACAGTGATTCATGCCTATAATCCCAACACTTTGGGAGGCCGAGGTGGGTTGATCACTTGAGGTCAGGAGTTCAAGACCACTCTGGCCAAGATGGTGAAACCGCATCTCTACTAAAAATAGAAAAATCAGCAAGGTATGATGGCAGCACCTGTAATCCCAGCTACTCAGGAGGCTGAGGCACAAGAATCACTGGAATCAGGGAGGCAGAGGTTGCAGTGAGCTGAGATCACAGACTGCACTCCAGCTTGGGCAACAGAAAAAAAATTAAATTAAATTACATTTAAAATAAAACCATTTAAAAATGGGGGAAATTATGGCACAGAAAATTATATTGTTTTCATACCATCCTATAGTTTATGCAATAGTTTATGTAATTGTTAGAAGTAAATTGCAGGCTTCCTAATTTCCAATACCTGTTTTTGGAAAAGAATTTAATAGTATTGTTTTACGATTGTATTTAGTTTTAAGATTATCTTCCGTTAATAGTGACATTGTTGAGCTCGTTTTGGCAGCGCATATACTAGAACTGGAACAATACAGAGATTAGCATGGCCCCTGCGCAAGGATGACACGCAAATAGTGCTACTGTCCTCCCAGCAATATAAAGTAATCCTTTAAAGTGTGTATTCAAAGCAAATTTAAAGAAAACTTAAGTAAATACTAGAAAGGCTAATAGGATATGGCAAAACGTGTGATCTAATGATTAAGTCTGGGAAGGATCGCTAACTGGGAAACACTGTAAAGTCTAGTATAAAATGATGGCAGGGGAATTGAGATTCAAGAATCCCTTATTCTAGTCTCTGGGTGGTACTTAATGGTACATCCTATGCCGCTCTATGACATAGGAGGTCATAAGGGAAGAGCCAAAGCCAGATTTTCTGCACTGCTTTAATCCAGCCTGTAGCTGGAGGCAACTGCCTTCTCCACTGGCTAGCAATTGGGGAAGGACTCCTATTACAGACCTGGAGCGGCCAGGGAATGTGTAGGCAGAGGCAAATCTGAGTAACAGTGTTCACATCCTGTAAAAACCATAACACTGGCCCAAATGAAGAAACAGGCGAGCTTGCCAGGATCAAGGAGAATAGTAATTTTTGCTCTTGGCAAAGATATAAGAGGAAAGACCCACTTAATGGGTTGGGAATGAGCAGTGGGGTCTTTTACAAAGATCTGGCCTTAAAGCCTTAACAGCAGGGCTCGATTTAAAGGAGAAAGTTCATGCTTTTAACAATAATTTTTTCTGAGACAGGGTCTCGCTCTGTTGCCCAGGCTGGAGTGCAGTGCAGTCGCACCATCTTGGCATACTGCAACCTCAACCTCCCAGGTTCAAGCAATCCTCCTGCCTCAGCCCCCCAAGTAGCTGGGACTATAGGCACGTGACCACGCCTGGCTAACTTTTGTATTTTTAGTAGAGATTATGTCTCTCTATGCTGTCAAGGCTGGTCTCGAAGTCCTGAGCTCAACGGCCTAAGCCTTCCAAGGTGCTGGGATAGCAGGTGTAAGCCACCACGCCCAACAGATGCTTTTAAGAATAATCTAGAGGGCCAAAAATTAGAACAACAGTTATTAACCCTGAGAAAAAAATGTTATAACTTTTATAAGTTTAATTTCTTCATCTGAAAATGAGGAAAACGGTAATAACTGACCTACCTCAGACCAGCTAATGTGTGTATTGCATGACATAATGCATATAAAATACCAGGTCATGCTAAATGTTCGATAAATGTGACTTCCCTATAAAGCCAAAAGACTTCAGGTAAATATCTGGACATTATTATTTAAGTGACTATGGGTCAGTCTACTTATTTATGGCTCACAATTTTCCAAAACGTACATGAAGCAGATTATTAAAATTCTAAACAATAAAATAGTATGCACAAAATTTCAGAATCAGTGAAAATATAAATCAGCATAGAAAATTAAGACCAGGAGAGAAAATATAATGTAGATATTCAGACCAATGAGTCCTACAAAAGTACTAATGTATGCTATAATACAAAATTAGTTCTGGGGTTCCTGTCAACCCAAAAGAAATTTGAAAATATTCATTAATTCTCCATGAGGAGAACAAAAAAACACCGATGCTGGTGGTAAACCTGTGTTGTTTCAGGGGATATCTCTTCAATTATCCAAGCTTTAAAACAATAAAAATATTATCTACCTTTCAGGGTAGATGTAGAGAATTAAATGAGCAACATATATGAAAAAGTATTTCATAAAATTGATGTACTACGTAAATGTTACTGATTATTTCATATACCTTAATTTACCCAATAGCGCAGGCTTATCATATGTTTGGACCTTCATTTAAATTACTGAGCTAAAAAAGGAAGCTTCATACACTGTTGGTGGGAATGTAAACTAGTACAGCCATTATGGAGAACAGTTTGGAGGTTTCTCAAAAACTTAAAATAGAGCTACCATATGATCCAGCAATCCCATTGCTGGGTACATATCCAAAAGAAAGGAAGTCAGTCTATCAAAGAGATACCTGCACTCCCACGTTTGATGCAGCACTGTTCAGAATAGCCAAGATTTGGAAGCAAGCTAAGTGTCCAGCAACAGACAAATGGATAAAGAAAATGTGGTACATATACACAATGGAGCATTATTCAGCCATAAAAAAAGCATGAGATCCGGTCATTGGCAACAACATAGATGGAATGTTAAGTGAAATAAGCCAGGGACAGAAAGACAAATATTTCATGTTTTCATTTATTTGTCAGATCTAAAAATCAAAACAATGGAACTCAGGGAGATGGAGAATACAAGGATAGTTACCAGAGGCTGGGAAGGATAGTGGAGGTTGGGGACAGGTGGGGATGGTTAATGGGTACAAAAAACATGTAAAAATGGATAAGACCTAGTATTTGATGGCACAACAGGGTGGCTATAATCATTAATTATTTAATTATATATTTTAAAATAACTAAAATAGTATAATTGGATTATTTGTAACACAAAGGATAAATGCTTGAGGGGATGGATACCCCATTATCCATCATGCGATTATTATGCATTACATGCCTGTATCAAAACATCTCATGTACCCCATAAATATATAAACCTACTATGTATTCACAAACATTAAAAAGTAGAAAACAAAATAAGTAAATAAGGTAAGTTACTGAGCTAAATCATTTTTACTATAGAAATACTCAGCATTCCCAGGCACTGTTCTAATAATTTACATGTATTCAATTACTATCCACAATAATAGTAGGTATTATAATTACGTTCATTCCAATGAAGAAATCTGGATGCAAAGAGGTTGAGTAACATTCCCAAGTTTATTCAGCTAGCAGGTGATGTTGCTAAGATTGATATCCAGGAAATCTGGCCCCTGAGACCATCCTGGTGTACAAATATACTTTTATACCTTGAACAAATATACAAGGCATAAAAGACGTATGCTTATAGCCTTCCGTAACTATAAAACCTGCTAATCTATAAATTAAATATAAGCCTAGCAAGAAAACTGATGTTAAAAGTATTAATTTTATGTGGTATGCAATATTGTTTTCTTATCACCAGTTGTAGGATGAATTTGATAGCATTATGGTCAGGTTATTAACAGGTCCTGTGAGATGACAATTTCCCATCACTTTTTTTCATTCAAATTACTAGAAGCCATTTGTTTATACAGCTTGTTGTGATATGTGGCCTTCCCTTGGTATAAATGTATCATTTACATATTAAATCGGCTTTAGTTCTTTTCTCATTAGCTCTTTGATTAAAATAGAATTGCTCACTGCTAACTCAATTACAAACACAAACACAAGACTAAAATTGCAGGGTAACTCTTGGCTACAGAGGCTACCTAGATGATCCAGGGTCTGCTTATATTGTTCTTTAAATTACGTTGAAATGAAAATGTAAAATTCTCACAGAGCAGGCCAGGTTGGGTACCTCATGCCTGTAATCCAAGCACTTTGGGAGGCCGAAGCAGGACGATTGCTTAAATCCAGGAGTTTAAGATCAGCCTGGGCAACATAGTAAAACCTCATCTCTACAAAAAAATAAAATAAAATTGTGGTGGTGTCCTGGTGCATACCTGTAGTCCCAGCTACTCAGAAGGCTGAGATGGGAGGACTGCTTGAGCACAGAAGTTTGAGACAATAGCAAGCTGTAATTGCGCTGCTGTACTCCAGACAGCAATACAGCAAAACCCGGTCAAAAAAATTTTAAAACCACTCACAGAGAGCTCATAAACTTCAGTGTCTCTAGTTGGAGAAATCCCATCACAAAGTACTCTCAAGAAGGCAGGCAACCTGACTGCATCTCTATAATTTGATGGGCAACCCTATTCCAGTCTCTGCCAAAGAGAAACCATGAAGCATCCCCTCCTTCTAGTAAGAGCAAAAGGTCTATAAGCACCATCTGTATTCTCCTGAGGTTCCATCCCTTCCTACCACGTACCTGGCTCTTCCAGACATCTTGAAGTAGGGAGTCTAGCTGCTCTGTGTCCCGTTTTGATAGTGACTCTGGGGATAGGGAGGGTAGGGAGAGCTTTGGCGACAATAAATCTGCTCTGATGGTACCAGGTGCCACATGCTGGCTTGGGAAGCCTTAGAGCGCAGAAGGCTTTTTTGTAGGGGTTCTTTTGCCAACAGCAAATTCCCAGCATCATATTCAGCTAAGAGTCCCAAACCTAAAGAGTTGCTGCTCTGAACAAACAGCTCAGCCGCTACACAAACTCCCCAGGGTGAAAGCCGGCCCAGAAACATTGCTTCAGGATTGGCTCAAACAAGAAAAGAATTCGGCCTGCCTCTTGTAAATACTCCGTCAAATTATGGTTTGCAAATTGAGGTTTGATGCATTGGTTTTCCAAATATGTACAACAGACACAGCAAAACTGAGTTGACAATGCACAAAGTTTAAGATATCTGCTAGTGAAAGTTACATTTAAGACTTCTATGATGACACTGAATATATTGCAATAGAGAGATATATTGCAATTGCCAAGACATATAGTCCAGCATGTCAGCTTCTGGCCTAAAATTCCCTCAAAATAAAGCACCCTTAACGCAGATCTTTATCAGCAGTGCTGAGAGTGAAGCCTGGACCCTAAAATAGAGTGAGGCTAACTCACTCTCAGGATGTCTGAAACCTGATCATGGCCTCATTGACATTTTACACCAACTCCTGGACAAGTAATCTCTTTAAGGAACTCCCAGTGAAGATAAATAGTATCCAACCAGAATTTCCTTTTGCTAGTGAGAAGCAATGAGGCCAACGACAGCAAGTCAAAGGTGATCATGTACATGGTAAAGGTAGCAAATGAATGGCTGCCACCGGGGCAATAGGTTTTTTTTTTAAGTGTATCTAAAGTGATCATATTTCCTGATTTTCCCGGTATTTAAAGCAATCATATATATGTCAAGTGAGCGTGTTTTCCAATTTTCCAAACTGTTAACTCAGTACAATTATTATTCGTTTTTTTTTCTTTAGACAGAGTCTCGCTCTTGTCAATCAGGCTGGAGTGCAGTGGTGCAATCTCGGCTCACTGCAACCTCTGTCTCCCAGGTTCAAGAGATTCTCCTGCCTCAGCCTCCAGAGTAGCTGAGACTACAGGCGCACACCACCATGCCTGGCTAATTTTTG